TGGGCTAAGATGTATCAGTGAGAGGTTTCATGGATCTCGTCCAGGAGATCCAAATGAACTTCTTAGCCTCTCATCGTTGACGATGGGGTCATATTCCTCTACTCGCAATGACGGAAGGTCTTTTTCTACTGGGATGACTGCTTCGGCGCCAAAGGCTTAGGAGWAGGGGGCTTCTCCAGCAGGTTGTTTCGGCTGTTGTTCGATAGGCCCACAATACACTGGATAATTCTTGGGCCCAACCTCCTTTTAAGGATTATAGGCAAGTCTTATGCTTGATGATTTTGTTCACCACCTTTACTTATCCATTGGACTGTGGATGGGCTGGGAGGATTAAAAGTGTCGAATGTTAAGTTGGTCACATAAATCAGCGTCATAAAATTGTTTTCCGTTATTTGAGATGATAGCATAAGAGACGCCAAACCGACACACAAGGTTTTGCCATACGAATTTTGTGACCTCTGCGATTGTAGCTAATGCCTCGACTTCGACCTATTTGGTAAAATTATCCACGACCACGATGACATACTTGGTTTACCTTTCCCGCGTGGCGATGACCTTATAAGATCTATTCCCCATTTTTCAAAGGGCCAAGTACTAACCACAACAAATAGGGGTTCAGCAGGTAACCTTGGGATCAGTGCAAATTGTTGGCACCGGTTACATGTTCGAGTATAGACCTGAGTGTCTCGTCATAGTGTCGGCCAATAGTATCCTTATCAGATGATCTTGTGGGCCAACGACCATGCTCCCGAATGGTTACCGTAGACTTCTTCATGAATTTCTCGCATTACATATTCGACTTCCTCCAAACACTTTAGAAGTGGTTGGGAATATCCTAGCTTATATAAAGTTCCCTCAATCGAGGTGTACTGGGTCACTTGACATTGTAATCATTTGGCCTCGATCGTGTTAGTAGGTAATTCACCTGTGATCAAATACCTGATGATTAGGCTTGTCAGATATGGTATGGGGTGTTCGCATTGTGGATATCCAAGGCTTTTCCTATGCTAGATTGTGGTACGAACACGACCGGTATGGTTTGGCCTGTGTTAGTCTGATAAGTAGTTGCAAGTTGAGCTAAGGTATTTAGATTTCTATTTTCAGCTGGAAGAACTTGTCGAATATCCCATGTTGGAAAATTGACAAGTAAATGTTGCACCTGTGCTTTATAGGCACTTAACTTCTCTCTTTTTACTTAATACTCTCCACTGATCCTCGTTGATGACCAACAAGGAATCACTGCAAATTTTGGACGCCTTATCCTCGTGCTGCTTGGAGTCCGAAGATTAAGGCTTCGTATTCAACTTTGTTGTTAAAGGTTTTAAATCCAAATCTGAGGGTGATTTCTGTTCGTTCTTTCATTGGTGATATTAACACCACTCATGCTCCACATCCTTGGCTATTGGAGGATCCATCTACATGGATGGTCCATAGGTTGGAGTCAGCGGACCTGTCACTAGTAGTGTTGGGGTTGTTGTTTTCATTTTAAAGCTTAGGGTTAGAAGTGAAATCAACAATGAAGTCGGCAACAACCTACTCTTTAATGGTGGTTTGGGGCCTGTATCGTATGTCATACTCCCCTAATTCCATGGCCTATTTCATCAACCGGCAAAGTTTCAGGCTTCTGGAGAAAATGTTTCAATGGAAGATTAGTAAACACATTCATGGTGTGAGACTGGAAATAACGCCGTAGGCGCCAGTCTGCTATTATTAGCACTAGGGCCGCTTTTTGAATGTACGGGCAGCGAGTTTCAACGTCAGCCAAAGCCTTGCCAGTATAGCATATGGTTCCTGGCATTTGTTTTCTTCCTTGACCAATGTGGAGCTTACTACCGTTTATGAGACAGCTAGGTACAAAGATAACTCACACTTGGAAGAGGCTTTGCAAGGAGGGGTGCATCACTAAGGTATTTTTTAAGTTTATGGAAAGTTGTATCGCACTACTTGGTCCACTCAAATTACCAATCTTTTCGAAGAATCGGGAAAAAGGGCAAGCACTTGTTAATGGTTCTGGATATGAACTGATTTAGTGTTGCAATTCTTCTAGTCTTGACGTAAAGTTCTTGGTGAGGCCATATCTATCACAGCCTGTATTTTGTTAGGGTTAGACTCAATCAATTTTGATGAACCAAGTATCCTAAAAACTTGTCTAATGAAACCCCAAGAATGCATTTGTTGGGGTTTAGTTTCATATGATATTGTCGCAGGATGTTGGAAGCTTCTTTTAGGTCTGTCCATGCTGGGTCGAGAGTCGGCTTTTGACCAATATATTGTCCACATAAACTTTCACATTACTATCAATCAAAGGGAAAACATATTATTCATTAACCTTTGGTAAGTGACCCCCGTATTCTTGAGGCCGAAAGACCTGACTTGATAACAGTAGAGTCCTTACTCTGTTATGAAGGACGTCTTCTCCTGATCTGGCCCGTGCATTTGCAATTGATTGTATCTAGAATAAGCGTCCGTAAAGCTCAGCATTTCGTGGTTGGTTGTGGCGTCCACCAGTTGATCTATTCATGGTAAGGAAAAACTATCATTTGGGCAAGCTTTGTTAAGATCTGAAGTCGATGCACATTTGCCATTTACTGTTAGGTTTCTTTACCATAACCATGTTGGACAACCACTGCGAGTAATATACCTCGCGTATGAATCCTACTTTAAGGAGCTCTGCTACTTCAGCAAGATGGCCTGATTTTGCTACAGGCTTGGCATCCGGACTCACATTGAGCTGATAAAACACTACCTAGTGGTCGATATCGGACATGTCGTTGTGCGACCAGGTAAACATGTTGGCGTTATGTCTTATGAGAGCTATTAACTTTTTCTTGGGTTCTGTTCCCATATGCGTACCGATCCTGACACGTTGTTCTTCGAATAGCAAAAGTATGGATTCTATTACCTCAGTTGGTTCCCCTCGAGTGTTACTGGGATTTTCTGCCTGGTGCTTTAGTATGGTCCCACCTGACTAAATGGAGCGGGCGTTAGGATTTTCAGGCGATGCACTACTTTTTCAACGTAAACACTTGATTCTTGTGGCTTGGAGTTCGACGATGCAAGTTTGGGCACAGAGCCATATTGTAGCATTCATGGGCGATACACTGCTTGCCCCAAACGTTCCCTACTCCTAAGGGGTGAGAAACTTCATAACTTGATGTAAAGTGGTTGAGACAGCTCCCAAGGTGGGTCGACCTAAAATAACATCATATATGTAATCTAGATTGACTACCAAAAAGCAGACTAACCTGTTGAGAGTGCAACAACCTTCTTCAAATGATACAGGCAGCTTTATGCTTCCCAGATGGACTCACTCTCCATCAAATCCCATTAAGGGGGTGGTGCATACTCTCAATCTTTCTCGCCCAATACTCATGGCGTGGATGGTTTGCAACGCTAAGACATCAGCTGAATTGCCTCCATCTACCAGTATCTGATGTACCTGGATGTTGGCATGGGAAATGCGATCATTGACACATCGTTTTGTGGTTGGCGTAGGCTCTGTTTGTTAGAGCGACTTAAAGCATATAGTGAACTCTGAAGGTCCTAAGGTCCTAATGTAGTAGTATAGATTTTGTCTTATTTGAGAATTTTGTCTAACGACTTGCTTATCCCTTTTAACTTAAGGGCTATGGGTGACATTCCCAGGATTGTCTCGAGCATTGAGTAATTATCCGGCATGCATGTGTTTCTAATCTCTGACAATGAAATCGTCAAAGGTAGGAGGAGTTTTGTTTCCAAAGAATTAAATAAATTTATCATCCTGAAGTCTGGCCATAATGGTGGTTAAGGCCGTTCCATCAGTACCTCCTTCAATCTTGAGGACTTTATTATTGAAGCAGACAATATATTCACGAAGATTTTTGTTGGCCTTTTGGCGGAGTGTCAACAGATAGGTAGCGGGTCTCTTCTGCTCGCGTCCTTCTACAAACTGCGTCAGAAAGACACGAGTTAATCCATGAAATGAAGTTATTGACCGTTTCTTAAGTTGCCTATACCAAGTGCTAGCTGACCCAATAAGGGTCAGAGAAAATAACCAACATTTTATCTCGTCACGGGCCCTCTGAAGATACATCCAAGCGCGAAAGGTGTCAAGTGCTCTAATGGATCTTTAGTGTCATCGTACTGCTTCATGGTGGCCCATTTGAACTTCGGGGGTATGGCCACCACTATAATATTGTCTGCTAACAGGGTGACCGATTTGTTGCAGAGTTCTACTTCATTCGACGGCTTGTCGGGGTGGCTAGTATGATTACTAAGTGTGCCACCTTGTTGCTCCTCTGCGGGATTTTGACGATGATGGTTGAGGAGGTTCTAAAAGTCTAAATGCTCACAAGTTACATGTTTTCTTTTTTGGTTCTCGAGAAAATCTTGTAGATCCTTAGTGTCTATTCCTTCCAAGTTTATCTGTGACCAAGCCTTGTGGTATCGTCTATTGCCTTGAACATGGGCTTTGGGTGAGTTGACACTATTGGGAGGAACTCTAGATTGGTTATTCCCTCTCAAGGTTAACCTCTCTTGGGGATTTGGAAGATGACTCATTCATGACTTGTCTTCCATCTAAATATATTCTTGAATTGTATTTATCTCACTATTTTTTTTTTCAAATCTAAAGTTCTTTCACCATTAATCAGAAACTAACTTAATAGTTAGAAAACTATATATTGTATCACATCAATGTTGAGTTGAACTGTTCACCATCTTTTTTCGTTACTCCATAATAAACACAATGCAATTCTAAATGCTTAGTATTTAAAACTAAATATATTTGAATCTCATTTTTTAGACACGAAATGATTATACTAGAAGAGATCGCTTGATGAAAAAAAAAATTTTTAATCCACCCTTGCCAAAAAATACTTATCTAAAACTAAAATTAAATTCCATGGTGTCATCTTTAGAAAACAAAACATTATAAAAAAAAATATACAAAGGGTATTTTGGTAAAAGTAACGTTTGAAATAGAACATTCCCCCCAAAATTTTCTCACGAAAACCCTAATTTTGCAGTTCAAGAAAACGCCCGTATTTCAGTTCACCGGAAGAATGGAGGAAACGCCGGTAGAGGAAGGAGATACCAACAAAGATGTCGAGGTTGCTCCGGCCTTAATTGCGGTTCACCCGGCCGAGAAATCTGTTGCCGTCGCCGTTGGGTCCGACCTGCGCGTATTCGATCTCGTGTGAGTTTTCTCGGATCGATTAACTCGATTCTTCTGTTTATTTTCCTTTTGAAACTCAATCTATTCCTATAGAATTGCGTTGGCGCTTGCAATACGATTGTAGTCACTCTCTTCGTACTAATTTTGTTTTAGCTCTGATGGGTTGTTCTGAGTTAACTGCAGAGGTAATTGTCCGGTTTCTTTGGTCGATGAATCTGGGGAACAGCATCATAAAGATTCCATTAGAGCTATTTGTTATGGTTCAAAAGGGCAGCTTTTTGTATCCGCTGGTGATGACAAAACTGTTAAGATTTGGTCGACTGAGTCTTGGCGCTGCATTTATAACGTGTAAGTTTTTTTCCCCTCTCCTGTCTCTCTCCTTTTTTTTTTCCTGGGTGATTTATAGCGAGGGGATTGATTGGCTGTAGATTTGTAGCGAGGGGATTGATTGGCTGTAGATTTGTAGTTTGATTGGTGAACTCTTTCAGCATTTCCTCGTGCATATTTGCTCAATGAATTGGCACACCATCTAACGGCATAATCTTGCACAAATTTCAATTTTTTTGCGTTTTTAAAGTGGGACTGTACTCAGCATCTAAATTGCAAGCGTATAGTAGCTTCTGGATTATCTGGAAAATTGTAACACCAGCTGCTTGCTTTATCGATTGGTCTTACTTGTGAAATACTGAAGTTTTCATGATTCTCCTGACAGGTGTTCTGAAAAACGAGTCAGTGCAGCTGCCATTAGTCCCGACGGGTTACATGTTTGTTTTGCTGACAAGTTTGGGGTGATTTGGGTTGTGGATCTTGATGGAGGGATTGATGAAAATCAACCTCTTGCCAACAAGACGGCTGTGTCGTTGCTTTCACATTATTGCAGTATAATCACTAGCTTGGTAAGCAGTTCTCTGTTAGCCATCCTGTTTCAGCATTTAGCAATGTTTGGTGTCTTGAGTGTATTACTAGATTTTTCTTAATTTTTTCTTCTTATTATTTTTAACTTTCACTATGGTGCCCGTGTGATTGTTTTTTATTTGCTTTATTTCTGGAACTCATTTCGTGAGCTTGTACAATGTCTTTTTGGCGTCAAATACTATGATTTTTATTAATAATATTAATAAAAACGTCAATAAGGGTTTTCATACTCATGTATATTGTAGAAATTAATTTTTAATTTTTATGTTATTTTTTGTCGCTGCCTCTCATTTCTATGTTATCAACTTCCTATTTGAGGAGAGACTCAATATTTCTTTATTTGAGAGATGAATTGTATAGAGTGCAGCAAAGATGGGTCATAGTTGGTTATCTTACCATATGATATGAGCTTTATCAAACAAATGTTATGGTCCATATAATAATTGACTTGGATATAGATGAAGCTATTGATGTGATAGAGAGTGGATAGATCAATGATTATGTCAACGAAGGCTTGTTTGTCCTCTGTTTGAGGGGAGAATTGTCATGGGTGTAACCAGCAAGAAATATCATGAGTTTGTAAGGATAATATCTTTATTGATACAATACTTTTTGGATAGAATTCAAAAGTAAATTCAGTGGACAATATTTTTGCCGAGTACTAATATGGAGATACAAGAGATGGTACCTTGAGAGAGTTTTGAAAGTATAGATCCAAAAGGAAAATAAATGAGATTTCTTTCTATGGCTTCTGTGCTTGTGGCTTAGGGGATGGACTCTTTTACATCATCTAGAGGAGTGCGTCCTTGTAGCTTCATTGCCAGTGCTGCATCTTCTGCAAAAAGGCTTCAAATTTCTTGATTTATGATCGGGTTTCACATTTAAACAAATACAGAAGTCTCTTGTAAGCTTCATGGCCAATATAAGGGCGAGGATTATTTTGGAGTTACTTTGAAACTGTACATTTGAACTAACTTTGAGCCTTTTGAGGCAATGACTACTATATGGAGAACCTGGGCTCTGGATGCTCTATGAGACATATGGTTGAGAATAACCAGAAGATTTTAATAGATTTGTTTATGGGTGTTGGAGATTTGGAGATTTGCATTTTTATGTCCAAAAGCCAAAAAAAAAAAAAAGGTAGAATGAGGTTAATTTATATGATGCTATGATGTACTTGTACTGGCAGGAAATGTTCTTGTTGTTTTGCTGGTCTTATGATTTCTATGAAGTTACTAACAGCCCCATCCATAACCAATATCATTATTGTTGCAGAAATTCTCACTGGATGGCCGTTTCTTAGTTAGTGCAGACCGTGATTTTAAAATTCGGGTAATCATATTCTCTCCTCATTTAATTATGATCAGTAATTAGTTGAAACTAATGTTTTTGAGAATGGTCTTGCTTTTTTGAAGGTTACAACGTTCCCTACAAAACCTGTGGATGAAGCTCATGAGATTCAAAGTTTTTGTCTAGGCCATACTGAGTGAGTTTCCATGATCTAAATCTATATATAGTACAAGATTAAAGTGGATAGTCAATGGTGGTGCTGTTTTTAAGTGACAATTCCTTGGTTTTTGATTCATATGTTTACATCATGTGTCTCCAGCTTTGTATCATGCGTAGCCTTCATTTCCAATCTGGAGTGCCCACATGGGTTTCTTATCTCTGGAAGTGGCGATTCAACTGTAAGACACTAATATGAACTCATATATTGTCTGCTTATTTGCTTTTGGTGCAATATGTGAAATATAATCCTATTTTGTTGCTTTTTTAGGTACGCTTATGGGATATTCTCTCTGGATCTCTCCTTGATATTTTCGAGATTGGGGATAAGGTGTTGGCCTCTAAACCCACACTTCAATTGTTTTAAGAAAATGGAATCTAAGAATCACAGATTTAATACCAGGCTTTCTCTCAAAATTATTACCTTGATTAATGAACACTCAAGCCATGAAAAGATACTTTTTATTTAGTTATTTATTTTATTTGAATGAAAAATCGAGCTTTCATCGAGGAAAAGGAAAGGATACAAAAGGCATACAATAAACCAGCCCAACAAAAGGAGCCAAACTAAAAGAACGAGCTCCAATCAAGCAAGATTAAACCTAAGGTGCAAGTAAAAAAATAACTTTGGACGTCAAGGCCCAAAGGTGATATGGAACCAAACAAGGTCCCACACCTCTCCCTCGATCTCTCTACCACTGAAAATCCTGTTGTTCTTTTCAAGCTACAAACCCCAAAGTACAGCAAAGAGATACTTGATAATTTAGACAAGGGTTTATTGTATACCATATATAGATTGGTGTAAAATATCTTTTGGTTGTCCACTTCTTACTCTGAAACTAGAAGAGTTAATTGAATTATGCATCATTTTCTTTTGTGGTATAGTTTTTGATAACCTGGTTCATTACTTGATTTCTCTTACTAATTTACTGAAGGTAGAACTTTTAGAGTCTAAAGAAAGAGAGGGGTGCAATTCGGCTGTCACAAGTCTCTGCACAATTGCTGATGGTCCCCTTGTTGCGGTGGCGGTTCAAAGGCAAATTTTCCTCTTCTTTTTCTCATTGTTCTCTTCTTTTTCTACTTTAATGGGATCCTACCATTGAACTTACCTTATCATTTCTCTTTGTAGCTTGCATGGAATAATTTTGCTGAACTGTGACCTGTCAAATCGTACTCTATCTGTAGTCAAGGTAAGGACTTTAATGCCAACTGAGCAATTCCAAAGGTTGTTGAAACAGGGTTCTCGAGATTATTATTTGACAAACTTATGGATGGCATATAATGACAAGATTTCATGCCCTCCACCCCCGCTTCCCGTAGACTTTTTGACGATGGAAGTAATATGTCATCTTTTTTTTGGTTTAATATTGGAGTGTCTGGATCATCTTATGTGCAGCCTTGACTAATTTTATTTAATTTTATTCTTCCCAAGATTAAATTCATTTGTTGTACTTTTGATAACTACAGGTGGTTTCTACAAGAGAGGAGACTTTCATCCCCACTAGCGTATCGAGCAGTTGCTCGACTGGATATCTATGGATGGTAACCGGTGTCTCCAGTTTGCATGACGTGGGGCAATCCTCTTTGGCCTGTGTCAAGGTCATCAGTGGTTTCAACAAGGATAATCCCTATTCCACTGGGAACGAGTTATTCGTACTGGAAGATGATGCAATACCTGGTGGAAAGAAGCTACTTGAAAAATTGCAGGGAGGTGTGTCGTTTGATGAAAAAGTATTCTTGGCAGCTGCTGAAGCTGTTAAGACTGCAATGAGCAATCTGTTGACTAAAAAACAGTACTCCACTGAGAAACGGGACTTCAGAAAGAGAACCAGAAATGATAGAAAACTTAAAAAATGATGGAGTATTAGTTCACTCGCACATCAGCAACAGGAGCCTGTTCTATGTAAAATTAGTTCTCTTTTTCAACATTTTTTAGCTTGACAGAGTCGCTTAGTTCCTTAGATTAATGTGATAATGTTTTAATTTATTCTGCAAGAAAAACTTGACGTGCTTTAGCCGCAGTTTTCTTTGTCAAAGCCATATCAGGAATAGGGATGTAAGTTGGTCCACTCCCCAATTATTTTGAAGAAATGACCAAAATAGCCCTGCCATCACAATTCTTGTTTGGTCTCTCTCTCTCCCATAGATGAAAACTGGGCCTGAAATGATTGAAGGTTCTTTTTATCCATGGAAACTGAATTTTGATGAAATATATGTTTAAATTGGTTTGTTATATGGCTTCAGGGGTAAGATTTCAGCCTCAGCTCAGCTCCAAGCAGGCAAAGGGGCAGAATTTGAAGGGTCAGGTAAGTTCATTAATTAGAAAATATGCAATTATTAGCCTATATGTTTGTAATGATTTGGAGGAATAATTAGTGGGATTTGAGATCAATCTACATCAGATGTCAATAATTGAGGTTGAGGACATATTAAAACAAGAGTGGGTGAAATTTAAAGAGAAAAAGACAGGCAAAACGATCATCATCCTCTTTTGTTTCTCCTCTCTAATAAGTCATAACACGTACGTTTACTAACCATTTTACGTGGTCTTGTTAAATACTTCCTCTCACCAAACACTGTTAATGTTATCGAGTTAAAAAGAAAGGTTGGATTATAAATTTGGTATTTGAACTTTTAGAGTTCGTGTTTTTGAAGGTTGTTATAAACCGGTTCTTGAACTTTCAATATTTGTTTATTTTTATAGTCCATGAACTTTTAATTTTGTGTTTAATAGATTCATATCTTAACCTTATTTAACGCTGTATTATTTAGATTTAGATTACTAAGTGAGCTTGATTTTGATTCTTGTTTGGATATTTGATGTCCTGCGTTAAATTAACGGAGTTGATTACAGGACTTATATGATAAAAGTTGAAAATTATAAGAAAAAGTGGCTTCTAATTATTTAGATTATCTAACAAGATTGTGATGTCAGGCTGATGCTACACCTTTGAATATTTTATTTTGTAGATCACCTTTGAATATTTTATTTTAGATCTTTCTCAATAGTTCAATGTTATTGCAAGTTAAGTGGTTGTGGAAAGTCGAATAAGACATTTCTTGTTGGAAGATCAAACGCTCTCATAGTTCAATTGGTTAGATAACCCACATTTTGTAGATTAGACGGCTATCTGGTGATATTAGTCGAGGTGCATGCAAGTAGATCTAGACACCCGTAAATATCAAAAAGAAAAAAGAAAAAATAAAACACAAAAGAGAGATAAAATTTTTTATTACTCATTTTTAAATTTTTAAATAACTTTATATAGATCTAATTATATTTTAGTCTTTAAAATTTTAAATCTGTTACATTTTAGTATCTACATCTGAAAAGTCTAGTCCCTTAAACTTTTCAAATATATAATTTAGTCTTCGAGCACCATAAAAAAAAATAATCTTAATATTTTCTATCGTTATGCCACCCATACCCAAAATCCATACTATCCATCTATTAAATATAATTAACCAAAAAAAAATGCAAAAACCAAAATAGTTAATTAAGTATACCGATTGGTACCTAATCTATTAGATAATTCTCAATTTGACTTTTAATTTTTTAAATTTTAAAATTTATCGGTAATGTATTGAAGATTTTCGATTAGGTTCTTCAACTTACCAAAATAGTTAGAGTTTGTTAAGAAAAGGTTGATGGGTGGTTAATATATTAAGGGTAAAATTGAGGATTTTAATAAATTTAGCACACAATTGAAGATTAACGATTTGATATATGTAGTTTTTTTTTCTATGGAAAAACAAAAATAGATATTTAGAAATTTATAGACAAAAGTAGGATAAGATTAAAATAGACCTTTCAAGAGAATTCAATAACCTACAAAGGATTTAGATTTTAACTTCTGACAAATTATGGTGCACTTGGTTTATCTGAAAATAAAAATCTAACAAGGATTCAATAAAAAATAGAGTTGTATTATTTATTTTTAGTATTTTTCAAATATGTATTTGGTAGCAGATTTGAAATTGAATAGATTGTTTTGTTTAGTAATATATTTGTACACTAGGTAGTTGTCAATTAAATCTTTAATTCCATCTAAAATAATATTAATTAATTTATTAACATTTTTGTTATAAATTTTGTAGGTACAATATTTTATAATTCACAATATATTATAATTTATCAATTTTTATTTTAACAAAAATGAAATGAGTTTATAACATGAAATAATATATTTATCAAAATTTTTATATAAAATATAATTTTTCAAATTCAAAATATGAAGCCTATAAAAACATACAAATGTTGTTTTAAGATTTCCATGCACATAATAAAAAAATATAATTTAAAAAAAAAATAAATCTATCTGAATGCATATTCACTGAATCTGAAAAACAAATTCGAATGGCCAATTACAACTTCCAATGCTTGAAAGTGTGAGTGAGAAAAAAAAGAAAGAGAGAGAGAGCTGAAAGTTTGCTTGTTGGCTTATTACCAAACTAATTTATACTTTAATATTATTTTGATACGATCTATTTTGAGTTTTATTGTTTCAATTTTAATTTACTTTAATCATCATAATTCTATTTTGAACTCCATAAAGAACTAATTTAGCAACAATTTTAATACAAATTATACAATTCTATGACTAGATTTTAAAAAATTTAGTGAATAAGATGTGATACTAAAATTATAATCGAAATAAATGAGATAAAAATGAAGATTAAAGACCAAAATTATCACTTTTAAAAATACATATATCAAAATATATGTTTCGAAAGTACGAGGGGTGAAATAAAAAATTAACTAAAATTGAGGGAATTAACAAAACAATATTTAAATTATTAATTTATAAAGAATAAAGAAAAAAAAAGCATTGCATTATCCAAATCTATAAGTGCGTGTCCTTCATTCTCACGTTCTTTGCCTGAGTAGTCAGAGGTTCAGACATTAACCAGAAAATATTCCTAATAATCATAAGATATTAAATTTTTATCGGTGCATTAATATTTTTTTTATCGATATCAACGTAAAAGAGATGAATCAACGTTTCATTCTATTATTAAAAAAATAAAAAATATTAAAAATATCAACAAATTATTAATATATAAGTAATCGAGGTATTAAATTTCCGTAGATATGTCAATATTTATTCATATTACAAGTGAATTGATATTTTCATAGTAATAAAAAAAATTGACAAAATAAAAAAATTATCAACCTAATATCACTGTATAGATATAATATTAATATTAATAATTTTTAATTTATCTAAAAAACGAGAGTGGCTTATTCATTAATTTAAATGTTTGTTACGAGTTTTTTAAATATCTATTTACATCAACATTTTATTGATATTTCTATCAAATTAAAATTTCGACATTTTCATTGACATCACAATTTAAAACTAATATTAATAACCATTATGAGTTGGCTTATTGATACAAAGAGACAGACGTAAATTCTAAAGAATTTAGAGGAATAAGTTGAAATTATTATGGCCATCTAACTACGATTTAATATTTTATAAGTTTCTTTAACAATCAAATGTAGTAGAATGAGACGATTATCCCGTTAGATTAGTTGATGTGTGTATAATATGATCGGGATATTTATGAATATTGAAAAAAGTAAAAAATTTAAAACTTATTTAAGAAGAGAAATTCTTATTTGCAAATTTAATTAATTTGTACGTATTTTTATTTTTATTATTTTTAAGAAATATTCGATTTTTTAATAAAATTAAGATGTCAATATTTTCATCCACATTAAAAAATATATATTCTCTTCCTAATCCTAAAAGGCTAAAAGTGAGTAACGACAGAGCTTCACGTGATATAAGCATGAGAATAAGCTGTCACACTACACGACAAAACCCCACCATTTAAGATAGAGAGAAAAAAATAAAAATAAAATAATAATAGTGATAAAATATTGTACTTTTCTATAAATTTGAGACAAATCCAAATTAAGTTGGTTTCATAACATTGTACGGTCCGATGACTTGAGTATAGTTTAATTGGTTTGATATTATCGACATAAATACGGGTTACTTATTTACTTATATGTCAAGTGTTTAATAAAATTATGTTCTTTTCTCTAAAAGAAAATATTTAAATCTATTTTCATTCAATTTTTAGAATTCTTGAAGTTTTAAAATGTTAATTTTAACTCCGAGACTTTTAAAACTAATTATTTGGATAACTATTTGTTCTTTTTAGTTCATTAACCGTGGGTGATATTGCAAATGATTATTTTATGCTTTAATCAATTGAGCTATGTTTAGGTTGATTTTGATCATCTTTATGTTATTTTGCTATAGAAAATCTCTTCATTTTCTTACCGTGTGTAACACAATTATAATTATTGTAATTAAACCTCTAATATTTAGGTCATACATAAAAATCAATACCTCCACACCACCTAATTCAAATCTCAGTTGGTCTATGTAGTTTTAATATATTTAAAGCCACGTCATATATCTATTTGCTAAATATGAATCGACGAAAAAATAACAATAAAGATAAAGAGAGTTATTTCCTAAGAAGTTCGAAAACTAAAATAGGTATTTTGAAGAAGATATTATCAATGAGATTGACATAAATAGATCGACCGCATCAAAAAGTAAATAGAAGTTAGCTGGATGAGACGATAAGGTTTTGTCTGTTATTTGAATTAGTCATAATTTGTCCATTAATAACACCAAAATTTGTCTTAAAGAAAAAAACACCAAAATTGATTACAACTTGTTTTTGGAGTGAAAAAAGGAGAAATTTTTGGAGATTTTTTTGGATGTTCTTGCTCCAATCCAAGCAACTGAATTTTTGGTGCCCATGATTTGTTTTTTACTGTCTTTTTTAACGCATTTTAGAAACAACAGCTGTGTTACCATGTTTATTACATGTTATTGATCAGTATCTATCTTCCTACTATGGTAAAAAAAAGTTGATAGAGTTTGAAAATATCTATTTTCACATTTTTCTATTATACTTGTAAAAAAAAAAATTTAATAGTGACAGTGACTTATAAACATCTAAATATTTTATTTTAAAACATCGTCTCTCCCCTCCAAATCCCAAAAAACTTATTTGTTTTTTTTTTCATCTCCCAAAAGAACCAGAGAGAGAGAGAGAGCTTTTTTTTTTCTCTTCATTCCTTTGTTCCTCTGTAAATGCTCAGACCATTTCTTGAATCCATGCGCATCATCACATGGCTTCCACGCCGTCCGATCCATCATCATCATCATGATTGGTTTTGATCAACGGTGGTTTTCTTGTCTTCTTCCACCGCTTTGGGAAGCAGCCATGGAAGCTACTGAAGTTTAGCAGCCATTTCTAAACCTTCTCAATAGATCCAATTCCAACACCAAAAATTTCTCCCTCTTTTTTTTCCACTTCTATTTTTTCTTTTCAAATTCCCACTTCCCCAATCCAAACCCAGAAGCTAATTTCTCAAGATTTTGCCTTATTTCATCAATTTTTTTTTTGTTTTTGTTTTTTTGAGTCTGCAAGATCTGATTCTTTCGATTTGATTTGTCAAGAAATATGCTGAGGAACAGATCCAGAGCTGTAACTGGGAAGCAAGCTTTAATGGCGGATCACACTTCTCAATCTTCTTCTTCTTCAAATTCATACACAAAACCAGTTCCAAATCCCCTGTTCGGTTCCCCCAGATTCAGAGCTCTTGCAGCCATGGGATTCTCCGAAACCCCACAAATTGATCACTCTCTCATCAGCCCCACCTCTGTTCTTGATTCCAATCCATTTTTCTCTCTCCAAAATCCCTTTTCACACGACAAATCAAAATTACCCCCACCACCCAATTCCCCCAAATCCATTTTCTCGGGAAACAAACAGAAAATTTCAGAGCCCATTGGGCTGGCTCTGATCGAGGAGAAGAACGATTCGAAACCCAGCAAGAGCGTGATCTTCAGTGCTAAGCTTCGGGTCCAAATTCCTCCTCCGGCGCCGGAAGCCGCCGTGCGCGGCGGGTGTGCAGAGAAAACAGAGGAATTTTGTTGGAATTTTGGTGGGTTGATGACGGTGAAGGAGATGGAAGTTTGTGAGGAATACACATGCGTGAGAACCCATGGGGCTAACGCCAAAATTACTCATATATTTGATAACTGTGTGGTGAATACGAAGAGCTTTGTGGATTCTGGGTCTCAGAAATCCATGGCGGTTGCCAAGAACAAGAACGCATTCCTTAGCTTCTGCTACACTTGTAAGAACCATCTTCAACAAACCAATGACATCTATATTTACAGGTTAGACCCGTTCCGTAACGTTTTATTTCTTAATTTTAGTTTATTCGACCTCCTCCCACTCTGCCACTCAATTCAAAACGCTTATATTCAATTCTGAAAAAGTTTATTACGATGAGTCGTGAAATTTTCAACTATAGAAAGTAAGTAATTATTTGTCTAGGTGTTTATATACTATTTTATTGTATTTTTAAATGTAGCAAAAAATTAAATAATTTGAATCATACTCCAATTTGACGGTAATACAAAACCACCCTAAAAATAAAAAGTCGTGAAAAAAAGTTCTATTGTTTCGTCAATTAAAGAACAATTTAGTAGATAAGAAGTGTCTATTTCAATCTAAAAAGTACTGTTTTTGTTTTTATTTTTGCTGGTGAAGGTTGATCTTGTAATTTATTTTTAATTTTTAATTTTTGCTATCTCAATTCTTCATTTTTAATTAAGAGAAACAAAATTAGATAGGATGACTGTGGTTGTTGTTTGTTTTTTTTTTTTTTTACTTAAAAAGATTGTAACATATTGTTTCATGTCTCAATTTTTCAAATTAAATATTTAATTTTTTTTATATTATATATTTTAAATTAAAAATGATAAAGTAACACTTTCATCTATATTTTAGAAAAAAAATAAATTTAGTTTTAAAATTTTTTATACAATTTTGAAAACAAAAATATTTATTTAAAATAGAAACAAGGAAAAATGAGATTTTTTTTTCATTTTTATTAAACTATAAAAATAGAAATGTGTTGGGTCATCTCTCTTAAAAATTTTAAATTAAAAGAATCAATGTTTTAGGTAAAACTTCATTTTTAAAAATACAATAATCAAAACTATTATATCAAAATAATCCAGAGAAGGCTTCTTAAAAATGAAAAACAAGAAAGAGAAAGGATTACCAAATTCTTTCCTTTCTTTTATAAACCAAAAATAAAAGCCAAAAACATTACCCTCTACCATGTTTAATGAAATAAATGTTTGTTTTTTTTTTTAATTTTTATTTTCTGAATGATTATTAATTACTGGTGTGACAAATAAAGTTGATAAAATTTTGTGCCATTTTTGTTGCAGAGGAGAGAAAGCTTTTTGCAGCAATGAATGTCGGTACCAAGAAATGCTTTTGGATGAAGAGGAGGATTCTTCATGATCATCTTCAACCTCTGCCTTCTTCTTCCATTGCACCATTTTCACAATATTGATGGAGTTTTTTTTTTCTTGTCTTTTTGGGGTTTTTTTCCCTCTCTCTCATGCAGATAGAGATAAGAGAGAGTTGTGTTTGTAGAGAGATGATAAAATATTTCCAAATATGTGGACTAATATATTTCCGCTTCGGATTTTATTAAAAATTTTGGGACTTTTTTATCAACATAAGTATAAGTGTAGTTGAGTAGTCATCGGACATCTATTCCTTCTTTTGAGGTAGCCATTTATTTTTGTTATTATTATTTTTTAAATAATTGATGATGTGGAATTGAAAGCAAGCCAAACTTTTGTCTATTTTCACTTTAATGATTATGCATATAAATATGCTTTTTGGACCAAATGATTTTTTTATTGCATTGGGGAATAAGATTCCTTTGCTTTCTTTCTCATTTCTCTATTTTGTTTTTTTTGTTTTTACTGGCGTTGATGCAGAAATTTAACCTATGAGATTTCGTTAAATTTGTACCAATATTCTAGAATAAAGGGATCGACGAGACTTGCAAAACACAATAGTACTAAGACTAGTGTGGCTCTTACACACATGCTCCGATGGTTAAGTCAGAATAGGAGTAGTCGAGTATGGAGAGTAGGATATTTAGGCGTAGCAAATAGTAGGGACTTGAGCATATTCTACCTCACCCTTAGGGTTTGGTTCACCCTCTTATTTATAGGAGTCAGATCCTAATCCATTTAGGAATTATAGAGGTCGAATCCTAATGTGCTAAGGAGATTTGGACTGTAGGATCAATGTATTTCGTCGTGGGCCTAACGTCAGCTCGAGGGTTGAGATAGGACAGGTTTGGATTAGGCTGCACAAAAGTCGAGGAGAACCAAAGGAGGGTTCTCGACCATTGGCTAACGACACCTCGACGTCGAGCAGACACGGGTCGACCGTGGTCAACCCAAATTAAAAAATTAATTAGTAATTTTTTATCTTCCTATAATATTGGTTAAATTAATTACCAAGTAATAGTACGATATGTTGATATCGTAGAGGTCAATCTTATGAAAATGTTGGTAAAATGTCAACGTTGATGAATGTTTTAGAAAAATTATAAAAATAAGAAAATTCATAGTAAATAAGCATTTTCTCTATTTTAAATATTGGTTAAGATTTATTAATATTAATATTTTATCTATATCAGTGATATTTTTTTTATATTTTATTAATTTTCTTGTAATATTATGGAAATATCCCCATCATGTCCGCATCGAACCCATGGACATGTGGAAATGTTGATGAAAATTGAATACTTTGGTTTGAACTTAGTTCTAATTAATTTGGTTTTTGTAATTTTAACAATTTTGTTTTGAGTCTAATAGTTTGGTTAAATCTTACTATCCTCGTCAAACTATTTTAAAACTAAACGGATTAATTGAACTTTAAAAACTAGAAAAATGATATTAATTGAACTTTAACCACAGGAAATTGATGATTTAACCTTGTATTTGCTATTCATACATTCTAATTGTATTTTATAAGATTATAACTAAAAGAAGTTAAATTAGAGAAAAAAAAATTTAAAATCAGACAAATTAAGAGGATAATTATTCCTTTCCTTTGTTCTTGGTTTTATCCCAAAATTCAAGTCCCTTTTCATTTGTCAAAATCTATAAAACTCATATTGTTCCCAAAAGAAAAAGAAAAAGCAAAATTTCAAGTTTTTGGATTGGTCTTTAAACTCACATATTGATTCATTGGAGTTTCTTTTTGTTTTCTTATTTTTTTCTCCCTTAATTCCAACATATTTCATCATTTATCTATGGATATAAAAAATGTTTTGCAAAATTATATTTTTGTCATAGGGCTAATTAAATAATATTACGATTTTATTTTTTCGTTTTTTATATTTTTAAAAATTATACTTTGTCACATGTATTCAAAGTATTTAAATAATTGAGTCAAAATTTAAAAATTAAACAAACAGTTTTAAATTTTATTATCTTTTTCAGAATTTGACTTAGATTCAAAAAATGTTTTTTATAAAACAAAAAACTGTACAAAATAATATTGATAAATAGACCTAACAAGAAATAGTTGCGAGTTGAGTAAAATTGAGATAGAATAATATTATAAAAATAGTTGTTAAAAGTAATTTTAAATATAGTTAAAACTAGAATAACCTATGTTAATTAATTAGCGATAAGTGCATTATAATCCATCAAAATGTGCTAATTAATTTTGAAAAAACTATGATATATAACTAATTATTTTTTTTAAAAAAGTTATATTTGTAATTATTTTTAATTAAAAATACAATCTTTACAAATATTTACGAATGGTACAGAATTTCCACCATAACCACCATATGCAGGCTACCAAGACCGAGAAGCTTTCTTGAGCTCGACAATTTCCTCTTTATTAAAGAACAATTGAGTCGTCATATTTAAAATTTTAGGATCTAGAGAATTCAAAAGAAAAAGATATCTAAAGAACATGAAGTTTTTTCTTCTATATAAATAAAGAAAGAGATCTCACAATCAAAATACGTTATGAAATCTTAATTCTCGTATGCTTCACACAAACCCAGTTCTAACTTAAGTAAAAAATCGTGTGTGGTTTTAACACTACAGATGTGTATGACCTCTCTATTATTGTAGGTTTCGTAGAATTCTTTTATTCAAGAGGAAATAGTACTAATTTGGTCATTTTGTTAGACCAAATTTACGTATCAACAAGTATTCAAACCTTTAACATCTTGCTAATTAAATATTAGAGCTTTGAAAGTTTCTGTTAAATGTAAATGAAATAATAAAATCAATATTTCAAGTAATATTGATGTTATTGGTAGTTGGTATTAACTATCTTAAATCAATTCAAAACCAACTACTTTATTGCATCTTTTTTTATAATACACCCTAAATAAATTAAACAGGAACTGAACTAAAAAAGAAGAAGGAAAAAAAAGAAAAAGAAAAAGAGGAAAAAAGGTATGAAATCATGGCAAATTAATAATCATAGTAATCTCCTATAAATGTGTGTTCTTTTATTATATTTTAATTTTTTAAGTGCTACTTTTTACTAATATCTTTATCAAATATAGGAGATAATGTATTAGATTGGGTGGTGCTGATGCATAAATTTGACCCTCCGGCTCTTCTTCTCGCACACACCTAACTCGATGATAAGGGAACCGACACCTATTTTTACAAACTTATTTTCAAACTTATTTTTACAAATGTTTAATATTTACTAATTTTACAATTTTAGGTTTCTGGATTTAAAACTTATTTCATTTCAACCGTATAAATGAATATAACAGACAAGCAAAAAATACATACAAGTAATTAACAGCAAAATATGAGTACAAAAACATAAAATAATCTCATTATACCAACAATCGTTATAACATAAACTTATATGAAAATATAAACTATATTCGGCTACCATTATAACATAAACTTATATGGAGATATAAACTATATTCAATTATAAACTATAAGTGTTGACTGTAATATGAAGAATTCATTCACCAAAATTAAGTTCAGATAAACTTATATATGAACTATAAAGTATATACGGTTATATTCCACTACAATTAACAAACAAAACAAATAAAATATATAACCAAATAACACCCTAGCATATGCTAAAAAAATCCATAGACTAGGATAATATTTCATATTGAAAAACTGTTCTTGACAATACCCCAAACTCGAACACCTAAAATCGGAAATTAGGAACAAACCTAGAAGTTTAAAAATATAAACGGTAGAAAATGGGCTGCCAAATAATGATGAAAAGCGAGTGAAACGAAACAGACTGCTGGTGGCGATAACAACAGAAAATGAAGAAGACGAGGAGACGACCTGTCGGAAACAATGGTGAAAAGTGAGATGGGTTATTGGCAACGAGGGTAGAACGAGACGGGCTGCTGCCTACGATGGAACAAAAAAAACTGTAGAAAAAAATGGTATTTTTTTATGAAGAAGACGAAGAAACGGCAGGGGGGGCAAGTGTTCTTCGGAATGACTGGGCGTAAAGGGCACGTAGGCGGTGAATCGGGTTGAAAGTGAAAGTCGCCAAAAACTGGTGGAATGCTCTCGAAACYCATTCACTTGAGTGAGACAGAGGAGAGTGGAATTTCGTGTGTAGGGGTGAAATCCGGAGATCTACGAAGGAACGCCAAAAGCGAAGGCAGCTCTCTGGGTCCCTACAGACGCTGGGGTGCGAAAGCATGGGGAGCGAACGRGATTAGATACCCTGGTAGTCCATGCCGTAAATGACATGTAGTTGTTTTCGGATGAAGAAGACGAAGAGATTTGGATATTTAGGTAATTTTTATTTTAGGAAAGTGAAAAGTTGCATAAAATCAAGGATTTAAAATTTAACCTCCCAAATCAACCCTTTCAATTTCCATAATTTAATAATATTTAAGTGAATATAAAAAATGATATATTGGTAAATTGTTGATGAGTTCCATAGGAATTTATTTTAAAACAAAAGTGTAAATTTTGTAAAATGAATTCCTTTATAAAATTATAATCTCTAAAAAGTCTATCAATGCATTAGTCCCTAAATAAATTAAGCATAATTTAAGAACTTTCATTTTCCAAACATTTATATTAGGACTAAATGTTAATAGTTTTTTTTTTTTTCCTTCTGTTTTGTCACGTCCGAAGCAAGTGTGATGTATAAGAACAGTAACAATAGGGGCATTTTTTTTTCGAGAGATCTAACTAAATTAGAAGAACTATATTGAAACTTTTAAATCTATAGAGATCAAATCGAATTGAATTTCAAACCATACGAAATGATATTTTTAACCAATATATTATGCTAGATCGAGCTTTAGGAAACTTGAGGAAGGTTGGCATTTCTTAATCTAAGATTTGGATCATAAACAAAACAAGAGTGGTTAGCTTCTTATTCTTTCATCATATTGATGATGTTTCAAAGGGTGAGAAATCTATAAGGTAAATAGAATTAAAAATATCCTTTTTGTACAATACAATAGTTGAACACCTTTTATTTTATTTTATTATTATTATCTTTATTTTCATGACTTTTTCAAATTAACTACACATGCTTAATTTAGTTAGAACCATTTTACTTTTTTGTTATCTTTAGAACAATTTTGTCAACTCGAATTTTGTTTTTAAAATTGAAAGTTTAAAGTTCTAGATGCATTCTTTTAAAGTATGAAGACTAAATAGACACAATCGTTTTAGAAGAACTAAGCTAATATAACACTGGAAACAACCAAAAATGAAATTAAAGAAATAATAGAAAAAAAGTTTCAAGACTATTTTGGTACCTATACCTTCGACTTCAGTTCATTTTGGATCCACCTTGGTCTCCACACTTTCAAAACATCCATTTTGATTCTTATACTTTTAAATTTGGTTCAGTTTAGTCATTCGAAATGTAGTTTTAGTCTTTGTACTTTTATAAAAAATGACCATTTTCGTCCCTTCGTTTTTGTTATTATCTCATTTAGTTTGATTAATATTTTAACACGATACTTCAGGTACTAGATTTTTTGAAATATAGCCATAAATTTGAATGAAAAAGTTTCTATTGTGTATAAAATTCGTGTTAGAATTCTACAAATAGGGACCAAAATGAATACATTATAAAAGTACAGGGATAAAAACGGACGTTTGTCTAAAATGAATGAAAGTAAAAGATAGACATTTTGAAAATATCGAAAATATACGGAAAAAAACAATATTTAAATGTAGGAAACAAAAATGATGAAAGTGTGGGATTGGAGTTCCTTTTTGAAATGAGTAAAAAGGGAAAAGGAGCATTACGATAAGGAGTTCTCCACTAGCAATTGTCTGATTCTTGTCTCTTTGGTCACCATTTTATTCCAAAACGAATAAGTAGAACAAACCACCACAAAAACTCCACTTCCCACTTATCAATTTTTTACTCTCCCAAAAAAATCTCCACTAAATTCAACACATTCAATTATGTTTATCAAACTTTGACATTTTACCTTCTTTTTTGTTGGAGAACACAAAATCTTATATCAATGGAGATTTACAAGATTGTAAGTTTGAATCATCATTTCATTTCTATATACTATATACTGTATTAATAAAATCTTAATTGTTTATTTAATGCAATAAGGTAGGACAAACATAATTGATTCGTTCAGTAAATAAGATAAAATGAGCATGCCAGACTCCTTAATTAAAGTAAGATAAGGTGAACATGCTAGACCGATCAAAATAGTTGTTGCTAGAGCTTATTTGAGTGCAGCAACCTACATGCTATGTAGAGACTATTGTGGCGAGGTGTGTTATATGATTATTTTAGGTTTAGGTAAAAGAGAATTAACTATTCACATTTAACTAGTTAGTGGATGACACGTCTCTAGAATTTATGATTTTTGTGAAGTTTAGACTAGACATGGTAGCATTGATAGACTACCGATTACTTCCCATTTACAATTAAGAAGCTTAAGATTACTATTGATGTACGCGTAAATACTTTTCTTGCTTAATTTTGTTGGATTAATTTTCACCTAAAATGATATAGATGTAGGTGGGAAGAATGAATTCCAAATAAAAATAAAAAGCCAATAAAAAACCTAGTTATCAACAGGTTCTTAATTAAGCATAGTTAATACATTAAATTTTATCTAATTAGAGAGAAAATCTAAGCATAACTTCAATTGGCTTTGTAGCAAGATAAATCACAATTTTTAACTATTTTGTAATAACTAACAAGATGATTAATAGAAAATAATTTGAGAAATTTCCATCCAAATGATCATATTAAGGGACTGTTTTATACCATTCTTAGATTTTCATGAGCAAGTCTTTGATGCTAAAGTTAGTTGTCAAAAACTCTTTCGCGTGGTTAGTGGGAACCCGCGCCCTTTTCCCATTTAGAACGAAATAATTTTTAATTTTATATATATTAGTTTTTTTTAGTTCAGATCCGACCATCGACCTTAGAAATGATATAATATATGTTCTCTTCAAATAAAGTTACATATATATAAATTAAACACATATGTAAACATAATAAACACAATTTGTTTAAAATAAAATAAACGCGTGGTATATTTTAAAAAATATGTATTTGGCCAAATAATTGTTAAAAATTCTTAACGAATAAATAACCATACGTTATTATAACTATATTTATATATTTATATTTCTTTTCGTCAAATATTTATTAACTTAATATTAAAAATAACAATGAAATATGCAATTTATAATAAAATACTATATTAATAAAAGTTAATTTAACATATAAAATTAAAGTTAGTGTATAATAATAGCATAATAAGGGTTTACTTTGGTTAAAACGAATATGTTATTAAAATTTTACATATAATTACAATGCACTAGAAAACCAACATTCTCATTGTCATAATTTTGGTCAATCACCCACTGAAAATTGAGTGATTCAATTTTAACATTAAAATTTTAATTTATCAATTTAAATGCCGAACTTGAATAGTTTATAAAATTTAAAACCAAGCTGCTAATTTGCTCCCCAAAAAAATCAACACCAAAAATTTAGACAACAAAAATATCCCAAATCTAGAAACAAAAATATCCCAAGCTACACCACTCAAAACACA